TTATATTTTCTTTAGAAGAAAGAAAAGAATCTTACATTCTTATGGCTGATTTTTGGCTAATTTTCAAGTTTTTGTTGTGTTTCACAAAATTCACCTCCTAAACCAATTTCGCTGGGTCTTTTTTTCCCTCCAACGTTTTACTGTTTTAATGTGATTGGTAAGTAGGCATACGCATGACTTATTTTCCAAACTGGTTGCTTGTAAAAAAGTAAGATAAACAATAAGAATATTGATCCATTTTTAGCGTCAAAAAAAAGAAGTAAACAAAATAAATAATGGTTTATACAGGGTGTTTCAAAAAGATTGCAATTTACATTGAATATTTTTAAGATGTCATTTTAAGTGGCTGTATCGTCTAAACTAAACATTTTACAAACAAAATTTTATATTACAAAGAAGTTGAGTAGAAAAAAGGGTGGTGACACCCTCCAAAATCCTACAAAAATTAAAAAAATATATTGCCTCTACCTCGATTTTGTTAGTCATGGTATTCCAACACGTTATATAAAATTTCATGAAAAAATGTCAAACGGTTTAAGAGCAACGTTAAAAAAATTCATTTAAATTTTTATCTTATACACCTTATACACCCTGTAACTATTTTTTGGTGCACTTTTGTATATAGGTAAGTATGGTTTAATCGACCTATTTTTGACCCAAGAATATGTGGTATAATTTATGACCAATCTTTTTGAAACACCCTGTATAAGCGCAATAACTTGACAAAGTATTTTTGACTAGGTTGTAAGGTCGTTGAGAACGAATTCGTTCACAAAATTTTAAAATGTTTAATATCATAAAAAACAATGTTATTAATATATTTTTATTGAAAAATTTCATAAAAGAATGAAACCAATATTTTAATACAAAGTGGCCAAAGGACCTCGCACACTGCTTATGGAAAAGTGGCGACCTGTAAAATGTCATAAATTTTTGATATGTTGCAGTTCTCTACCTCTTAAGCAATAGTGTCCATGGGACCATTCAAATCCTATGACTGGTTTTGGAGATACAGGGTGTTAAACTTAAGAAATACCGCTTATTTGATAACGGTTATTTCAGGAGAAAGCTATTTTCCTTTACAGGGTGAACTACAAATAAGTAAGGCCGTGTTTTTGATAATTACTTTTCTTGTTCTAGAAGGTAAAAATATTTACTAAAAAATAAATTATTGCTATATTTATCATATAAATAAAACAATCATGGAGAAATGTGGCAGATGCATTCTACCATCGATTAGGGTACTGTCAACTCTCAAATGGAGCACATTTTGAACACTTGATAAAGTAACCATTATGTTAAAAATGTTATAATCTTTCAATTTTTACGTTTTAATGTAGTTGAAAATAGTTTGTATTAAAAAATTCATTGAGTCAATTAGGCATTGCCAGAATTACTTTATTTATTTAAGACCTTCCAGACTACATAAAATCATAAGTGTTACATATGGTTGAACTCGTATTGAATAGGAGATTCCAATAATGACTGAATATACAGGGTAATGAATTTGAAAAACCAAAGAGACTAATAATTTCAGAGAAACGGCAAATATGGCAACATTACAAATATCACATCTGAAATCACCGTATCCCAAAATAGATGTACCCCAAATTTTGTACAATTAGGACCAGCAATTTACGAGATAATTGGCCGTTTCCAGACTTTTGGGCCACTCTGATATAATTATCCAATTCATTGACTACAGGGTGATTTGATAAATATATTGATAGTTAATTTATCGAATGTGTCAAAAAAAAAACAATTTTTTAAGCACCCTATACTTTTTGATTAGTCCTGTAAAAGTAGACATATACAGGGTGTTAAACTTATAAAATTACCCTTTTTTATTACCAGTTACTACAGGAAAAAGCTAATGAATTATAATTTTGTGTATCTACTATTATTTTTACATCATTTGACACTCCACGAATATACACAGGATTCCAAAAATATTTGTCTCTACAGGGTGAATCGTAAATAAGTAAGGACAAGTTTTTGGATAATTACTTTCATTATTTTAGATGTTGAAAATGTGTACAAAAAATTAATTATTGCAATATTTATCATTGTTAATGATAATACAAAAGATTTTAGGTGCCATTTATACAGAGTGATTCGATTTTTTTAATGAATGTGAAACTCCGTATTTTTAGTTGACTTTTGTGTATTTTTTATAATATTAACATATGTAAAACTATCCAATTTATTGATTTCATAGTGATTTAATGGATAGATTAATAGTGTTTCAACAAAATTTGATAAATCACCCAGTACTTTTAGTCCTATAAAGGTATTTCTTTACTGGTGTAGCAACCATTTTGTAGAAAATAAATTCCCAAAAATTACAGGTTATGATAGGTTTTTGAGATACAGAATTTGACTTAAGAAATACCCACTTTTTGTTACCTGTTATTCCAGGAAAAAGCTAATCAATTGCAATTTTTTGTGACTAATTTTATTGTAACATATTTTGGCATTCGACGAATATATACAGGGGTGAAAAAAATATGTTCATCTATAAAATGAGTCGCAAATAAGAGAAGATACATGTTTTTGATCATTTCTTTTATTGGTCTGTCTATGGGATGAAAATATTTCCCGAAAAATAAATTATTGGTATGTTTTTCGTTTTTAATAACATAAAAGAATATTTTATGTAACATATTATAGAGGTTGACTAGTAAAGATCAACGTAGACCAATATATTTTAATGTGATACGCAATATTTTTAAGTGCCTGGTATGTGTATGTATCTACAATAGTTATATTATCGTACAAGTATTGAATTATTAACATATTTATAACTATCACTTTCATTAACTACAGAGTAATTGATTAAATATATTAATAGTTGTTCTATCGAATGACATGTTTTGGATGTTAGCTTTTATTGTTTATGTGGTGAAAATATATACTTATAAAAGAAAATGAATTATTACTAGATTTATTGCTTGAATGAGAAAAACACGTTACATACACCAGCGGTAATGGAATTAGATTATATTTTATACAGGGTGACTTAATTAATATAGCTATCTAAGTTTTAAGTGCAGTTTTATATTGTGAGAATACCTATCAATATATTTATTAAATCACCCTGTAGCCAATAAATTGGATAATTATACATATGGTAAATAGGCAAATACACAAAAGTCCCGTAAAAATACTGCGTATAAATGTATAAATGGCACCTAATAACTTTTGTATTATCATCAGACATGATAAATATAGCAATAATTTATTTTTTAGTAAATATTTTAACCTCTAGAACAATAAAAGTATTTATAAAAAATATGTCTTTACTTATTTGTGGCCCACCCTGTAAAAGAAAATAATTTTTGAACCCTTTTTATATTCGTAGAATGTCAAAAGATGTTACAATAAGATTTTGCACAAAAAATTATAATCCATTAGCTTTCTCCTGAAATAACCGTTATCAAATAAGTGGTATTTCTTAAGTTTAACACCCTGTATCTCAAAGACCAGTCATAGGATTTGAATCGTCCTATGGTCACTCTTGCTTAGGGGGTCGAGAACTGCAACATATCAAAAATTTATGACATAACAGATCGCCACTTTTCCATAAGCGGTGTGCGGGGCCCTTTAGCATTTATGAACATGCACATTGAATATTGCATAATGATGAATATTTAAAAATCGGTAAATACTAAAATTCGTTTTCAGCGACCTTAAAAATCCCTGATTGATTATTTAGTTCCATTTTGGCAAAAAATTTGTCAAGTTATTGAGTTTTTACGTTTAAACCATTCATATTTTTTTTTAAATTCATTATTTTCGTTGAACATGAAAAATGGCCCAATATTTTTAATAGACACTAATTCAGTGAAAAGATATATTTTTTATATTGTTTTGGTACAAACGTCCACTTTTTGAAAATAAGTCACGCGCATGCCCACTTACGCCCCACTTTAAAACGTTAGAGAGAGAAAATTGGTGGAGGGTTTAATATTTCTTGTAGGTGGGCCCTTATCATCGAATAAGCAACGAAAATGTTAAGAAAATAAGTCAAGTTTTTGAGAGGCATGTACCACTTGTAATACCTATAGCTACCTAAGCGCTTCAGTCTGAACGTCGCGATTTTGTGAATTCGTTGGACACGTATCATAGCACAATTTAATAATAAATTCAGCTATAAGAAAATAAGTCACAAATCTGTACGTTGGCTGCAGGACTAAAAACACTTTTAACCGATGTTAAGAAATAAGCTATTCTGCAAATTAATGTAGTATATTTATATTTTCTTGTGTTCAAAAATTTTAAATTAAACTTGTTTATAAGTAGGTAATTTGTGTCTTTTTACAAATTACCTAAAAATTAAACCGAACAATAGATTCACCAATTACCTAACTAAAGAGTACCTACTTTAATTATAACACCGGATACGTCTTATATTACAGTACTTAATGAATAAGCACAATGTAGACATTATAAGAAATTTAAGGGAAAATTTGCAGGATTTTTATTTAAAATATAACAGTACAAGAATATAAGAGATGTAAGATACACAGAAGGTTAACACTACACAAAATGATAATGCCGAAAATTAGATCGGCCAGTACTACCTTCCCGATTCTGAAGCTGGCGTCCCAACCAAGAAATGCGATCATCAAAAGCAGCATAAACAGAACAATACAAAGTCACTTGAGTTTTGAGAAAATTGTTTGATTTTGTTACACAAATCCCAATGACAAATAACTCTATAAACATAATCGAAATTTAGCAGAGTTTTTGATATTGGGAAATATATTTAATTTAAAAATAAATGTAATAATGTAAATAGAAGATAATGTGCAAGAACAGTGGACAGTGAGTGAAATGCTGGCAAATAGAATGGAAAGCAAAGAAAAATGTAACCATATTTACAAAGAGAACATACAGAAAATGATGAATTAGCATGGAAGAAAATACTGATATATACAATGATCGTGAAACATAGGTGAAATGGTGTATAAAAGCAATACAATCTCTGTAGTCTTTACCTGACTAGTGACCCAGCACTACCGTCAGTTGATGAACCATTAAGAAGTGAGGGGCTCGCCGATATTGGTCGAATCTTAAAAAAAGTAAACGTTATAGTTATTATAAAATTATTTAAATATGTAATTATACAGTCCGAATCAATCCCCACTCGGACTTACAACATCAAATTAGATTTTTTTTGTAATGAAGCTATTTTTAAATACCTTTTAATAATTCATTTAATTTTCCAAATACATAATGTTCAATCCGAAAAAAGATTAAATCTATGAATGGCCTATATTTTAAGTTTTGCCGTAAACGGCCGCGGGGATCGAAATCCCTTCTACCAGACTTATACGCGCGTGGATAGAGTGATTTTTTATTCGGCCGTCGGTACTGAAACAGAAACTGATTGTCTTGCATCGATAGAGCCAGGTCCAGTCGTTGGTATCACGTTCCAGTCTCTCAGAAAAATTTATTTTGAAAAAATCAAGATGAACCACTTCCGAAATTCTGGTACGTTTTTACTCAAATTCTCTCGAAATCACTGAAACCATTACCGAAATGACTTCGAAATTAATTTTTAGCAGAAATATAAACCAGCAGGTGGTGGATCAAAAAACAAGTGAGCAAAAAATAGTTATTTGTGTATTAAGAGCGAAAAGTGACTTTGCCGCATGAAACAGAAAGTTAGTCGACCGAAGCGTAGCGGAGCGCGGCAATCTGTTAAAAGCGGCTAATAACTTTTCGCTTAAAATGCACACAAGATTTTTTCTACGATCACATTATTTTAAGAAATAGATATAAAAACTGAAAATTTGTTGTAAGTAGTGTAAAATGTGTTGCCTATATTTAAGTTAATCATGAAAAATGCATTTGATATTCAAAGTCAATGTTAACTTGGATGATAAGACAATAAAACAAATATCTTAAAAATCATTTATTAAAGAGAAATATTATATTATATCTAGTTTAAATTAGGCGAGAAATAAAGCTGTCAAATTTTCCGCCCGGCGACAATGAACTGGAGTAGGGTAGAATGCTTGTCAATAGGCTTGAGATGCGACTCTATGGACGAAGACAGGTTATTTTTCATCTCACTCAGGAGTATTTATAACAACCATTTTCTATTTCACTTTGTTATTGTCTGATCCACCAGCTTGTGGATTGAACAATAACAATGTGAAACAGAAAATGGTTATTATAAATACTCCCGAGTGAGATGAGAAATAAAAATGGCTGCGCCCATAGAGTCGCATCTTGCTCTATTGATACAATATGCACATTGGCTTTCTACCCCACTCCAGTTCATTGCCCGGCGAGCGACAAAGCTGTCACTTAATGTCAGTTCTCGGAAAACGTCAACTATGCGGTTATATTTCGAAGCGAATAGTGATCATAGAAAAAGTTTTTTTTTATATTTCTGAAAAAAATTTCAAGATAGTACAATAATTATAATTATTCATTCGAAATTATATATGATGATTTCAGCGACATCGATGAAATTGTATAAAATAAAGGGGGATTTCGGCGAACTCATCAAAATCACATAGAACCATATAGGTGATTTCGCCAAAAACGTAAAAAAAGATAGACGGTCTCGCCGAAATCATACGAATTTTTGGTGATTTCCGAAATACCGGTACGATTTGACTTTAGTCGTTTACTCCTCAAGTACTTCAAATTGTTCGAAACATAAATGAATATAAGCTGTGTATTAGATTGAATTTAGAACCGATTTTTGAATTTTTTTCTCGTGATTGAACATATTTATATTTTGTCAGGAATAAATTTTAACAGTTAATCTTAATTTTGATTTTTTTTTATTCGCAATTATAGTTACGAACACTGAAAATATATTTTGATTTCACAGTAGTTGATTTATTAAATAAAACTCAATCCGTAAACTTGCAAAATAAATTGATTTGAAATATAGTTAATGATTAGTCATTTAATGTAGGGTGAAGGTACCAGTGGTTGAACACGCACCACTGAATGAACATTTTAATGAAATTTTTCGAAAAATAAGAAATCACATCACTGCACAGCGTTAATTTTGTAAATAAAATAATAGATATGTTGGTATGTTCGAAAAAAGTATAGGGAAGATGTCCCGCCGAAATTAATAGCAGTTGTTGTGGAAATTGGAAATTTCCATTGCACGTCAAAAACTCATGAAAGTAGATGTTGCCACGTTGCTACAAAATTCGAGGTTCTCAAGAAACATTTTATAAAAAACTAATGTATAATTTTTAGGAGTAGCTCTTCCAACATAAATAAATAGAATAAAAATAAACAAATAAAGATTTATTTATAATAAGAATAACTATCGCTATCATCATTAAAATCAATAATTACAGGTAAAATATCCTCTCGTTCAAATATAACTTCACGGTTTCAAAATTTCTGAATAATTGTTTCAGTATGACTGATACAATTAGATCAAATTTGTGGGGTTACAGTCTGTAGTGCTTCCCTCCACATACTTAAACAATTTTAAATTGAGTTGCCATCCCTACCAATATGTCAATTATAATAATTATTGGCAATATCCCATATCATTTCAACTGGAATAAATGTACAATGATAAGTAGGTAACCGAATAACCATGTGGCCATATTGTTCTGCAAGTTGATCTACTTTATATATTTTTGGTCGTTTATTTCTGAAAACTGTCATTAAATCTTATTTGTACATATTCTAATCAAATTTAATGTGGTGTGTCGTTAGCCAATCCTGAATTTCAGGTTTTGTCCAGGAATTATTGGGCGTTTTAAAAAGTATCGTGCTGTGATATGAAGCATTGTCCATAACATTCGTTGAAGGCTCAGTTAAATTCATAAGTAATTGTTTCTCGAATTTAAAACCATTTTCGTTACCAGCATGAAGAACAATAAATCGTTTCCCATCTACTCTTGTAATTTTTACGCTCCTTTTATCGTTATTTTGCCAATAGCGGTTTACTGTGCCATTTTAAAAAATCCACGTTTCATCCAGATAAACAATAGTATATAGACAGATTTTTTGTACTTGGGTATAACTTAACTAAATCTTTTACTGGCAACATGAGGAAGTTCCATTAGACCTCGCCGAGAATCATCTTTCTTCTATTCAAATCCTGTTAAAGTTTCATGTAATTTCGCAAGAGTTACTTGTTGTTTCTTCTTATACATATCGTAAATGACATCTCGAATGTATTAAGAATTGAAAATTTCGGTTACAGGTTTGGGATGTGGTTGTCTTTTTGGAGGATAATTTAAAATGTGAATATTGAGCTTAACGTCGAAATATTCAAATTCAACTATACGTTCTCTGGCTGCATTTATTGGTAATAAAGGGCCACCATTATATCATTCTTCTTCAAAATATCTTATTAGAGACCCCACTAATTAATTCGCAAGGCTATTTAATTTCTTAGGCATTTTAAAAATCAAAAATAAATTTGTTTATTAAACAAACAATAATACTGTTGACAGTTTCACATTTTAATTATACATGTCATAAAAAGAAATATTGATTTGGCAACTGTCTTGAAAAGTAACAAATATGACTAACAGCAATTATCTGTTCAATTTGATGAACCATTTACATCATTGATGATTTGCAACGGAAATTTCATTGCAATGGGTATAACACTTACTCGTATACTTGAACAAAATAGCTGCCTTCTGATTTTACAGGAAATGCCACTAAGTTTGATTTTTTAAATGGATCACACTGTATATTTATTTTTTTTTGGAACAAACAGTTCAAATTACATATGACAGTGTTTGCCGTATCAACTTAATAGCATTTCCTATAAAACCATAATTCGGCCATTTTGTTTAACAGTCATTTCGGAATTTCGGAACAGTCAAATAGGTTTTTCCTACGACCACTTAGGAAAGTGACACAAGTCCTATGAAAAGTGAACTATATCACACGCGTATGAATAAGAATTTACTTTCTACCCGTGTACGAATATGCTACTTTCCGCATCAGCTGTCACAAAATGTCAAACGCGTCATTTCTATTTTGATCTATGTAATGTCCATATTAATACTAAAATCGATATGATTGTTAAATTATTGAAATTGTTGTAAATTAGATCCTAGATATTTATCTTTAACAAATATTAAAATAATTTAAAAATAACTAACTTATGTTTGCTTTTTATTCTGGTTAAACACATAACCGATTAGATCCTTCAATTGATACAAGGCCTATTAGCTCAGATGGCTAGAGCATCAAACTTTATCAACTTTGTCATTTGAGACCTGGCAAGCGACTGCGTTCAAATCCTTGCGGGGGCAGAATTTTTTTTTTATTTTTTTTTTATTTTAGTATTTTTTTGTTTAGAAAATATGAAAACTGAATAAATACGATTATTGTTGATTATTTTTTTAAATACATTTTAATTATTATAATAATAATCTGGTTTTACATTTTTTTATGAAATTATTTTGTGGTCGTAGGAAAAATATTGTACAGAAAAAGTGATTTTCCACACTCGTGTGATAGTCGCACTCGGCTTGTGCCTCGTGCGACTAGCTTCTTTGATTCTTTTGTTTCTGATGTATATAATAATTAATCTACTAGTTCCTATAACTTATTATTCAATGTAAAATTCTATGTAATTAGGCATATGGCCTGTTAAGAATTAAATAAATAAATAAGACCTAGAAAGTGCAAAGTTTTAAGAGAAAACAATATAATCAAACAAGAAAAATAATGAATAACAAATATGGCAAGAAATTATAGAGGAGAAGTAAAAGCGAGAAAACCCCAAAACTACACAGAATAGAAAAGAAAAACGACACAAAGTTAATGCTACAACATCTATTGTCAAAGCCACTGATTCAGTAGGAGACTAATATAAAACAAGTTCATTGCTTAATCCAGTGGATCAGAGATGGTATTCCCGAAATTCCATCGCTAAAAAATGGATAGTTCTGCTTTAAGTTGTTTTTTTTTTTAATATGGATGAGTATGAGTATATACAAATTAATAAAACATACCTACTAATCATCTTCCTAAATAAGTTTTAAAATAAATTTATTATATGTATATACATTTTTCTACAAATTTATTTTAATTTGTTAAATTTTAATTTGTTGTCGTTTTTATTTATTTTCAGAATTTGTATTTATTTTTAGAAGTTCTACATAAAAAATAACCTACGTATTTGTTTTTGTTTGCACTGAAATATTTCTATCATTTTCGAAATATTTCACAAATTTTTACTTAATATTCTGGAAAATGAAATTATCATTTGAACAATTCTTAAGTAGTAATTTAATAATTTAGAAAACCGTAAATAAATTACTATAAATTATTATACATTTATTGGTGTTTTCAGTTTCATTTACTAGTTTCACTTATTCATTCACTAGGAAAAAATAGATTCTGAAGTTTAAAATTAAAACTAAAGTTTTTGGCCAAGGCTTGTTTAAATTTACATATTTCAAGAAATAATTCATTAATTTCTTAACGGGATATAATAAATTAAGTTCATATTCATGCATGCGTTTGATTGTTATTAATATTCATAATTTGAATGCATCTTAACGGTTCATTCTATGGTACCTTCACCCTAAATTGATTTCGTAAGCACTATATGTATTGATTTTGATCGATTAACTGTACCGACCAGATATTTTCTCTTTTCAGCTTCCGGAAATTACTAACAACGATTAAAGTTCGTTATGTTACATCATTAGAATATCAGAGTCCCAGACTACTAGAGTCCCTTTCAAGGCCGCAACAATGATTGTGGAATAAACATTAATAATTACTATCTTAGAGGCAATAAAACATCTAACAATTGTATAAATCGAACGAAACATACCCTCTCTGTCTGCGTAGCAGCATTACAAGTTTGGCTTTCGCATGTAGTAGACGCCGGCGCCGAATTCGCATGATAGTTATCCTCCGCCAATCTCACCATTTTCTCCTGGAGTGTCTGCACCGTCTTCTCTCTGTCTTCGAGCTGGCCCTGCAGGAAAAGTACCTGCCTACGGAGGTCCGCCACTTCTACCATGACTTTGGCATTGGGACTCCCATCTTCGCTTGTATTGGTGTCGTCCGGACAAAGACTGTTGAAGATCCCATTCGTCAGGTGCTGACTTTCGAATGGGTTGTGAGTTTCTGACTGGAAATATAAAAAAGGAGGTTGTAGGATTATATTATGAAAGATAAGTTAAAATGAAATGGTTATGCTTATTTATTTTCAAATAATTGTGCTAGGTACTTCAAAATAAAACTCAAAGAGTTCAAAACCCGAAAAAGAATAGTGGCTCTGGAAAATAAGTTAGGCAGGCATTAGAATACAAATGATTAGATGTTCTAAGATAATCTTGGAAACACCTCTAGGAGCTATTGGCTCCTAGAGGTGTTTCCAAGAGTTCGCAAGCAAGAAAAATTGCGAACTATACATTAAATCTAACACACTAATCCTGTAATTTGAAATCTATTTTTATGCTGCTGTTCTAATATTCGTCATAATAGTTGTGGTGCTCGCGTCTCGTTTGGCGAGCATACAAAGAACTTCCAAATGATTTTTATGACATTTCAGATGCTCTCTCATGTTTGAGTTTTGTGTCATTATTTTTATTTTTTGGTTATATGTAATGTTTTTAGCAGAGATTAGGGACATACTGGGTTTTTAGAATGACAACCATCTGGTCTCTTCTTTTTCAATAACGCCACTGTTATTGATTAAGCTATGCTTTTCTTTTTGTAAATCTTTACAGGATTATCCGAAGACCCAGTAGGCAGAAGATTGGGAGCAATATATAAAAGACCGCCGTTGCTATGCTGACAAGAGAGACCAAGATAAACAACCAATATTTTCCACGTCAAATCATCCACTCATCAACCAAAACTCCATGCACCATATTTATTGTTTATTGTTTTTTTTATATATTCGAAAATAAACGTTTTCAAAATTAATTTCGTTTCCAGTTATTCGAAGAATTTAGTGTTTCACCAAACAGGGAATCACTAAATATTGGGAAACACTAAAATAGTACATTTTTACTCAGTTGTAGGTTAAACTCAATTTTTAAATTCTATTACATTTAAATCTCTTCTTTAATACTCTACCAAAAGTAATTCTTTGAACAAAAAAAAAAAGAAACAAAAACTTACCCTCAACAATTCCTCTTCTACGGTCTGCTCCATGAACAAAATACAAAAACATGCAAAAAAAACAAAAAACACATGTAAAAGTAAAACAGAACAAAAAAACATGCCTTAATTCGTAATAAATTAAAGAAAAACTACAAAATTATGTAAGTCGATTTTTACTACGATACACTTAACGCCGGTATTTAATTTTCAGAACGTAGTACAGGTTCAAGAGGTAGACACTTTATTTATACCTCATCCTTCAATGCTTATTTGTAGTTAAAATTAAAATTTTAATACATCTGAATAAAAAAGTGCAGTAAAAATGGGGATATAACGTCACATTCCATAGGCGTACTTTGCAAATTAAGTTTCTATAATATAAATAATGTAACGGCATATAAAATGGTATACAAATACGCACTTCGTAGATTAAATTTTGAATGAAAAAAATTTATATTATTTACAACAAATAAACCTTATACTTCTGACAAACTTGTTGCACTTTAACATTGAACGAATTAAACTATTTGCATTAAAAGTAACACTTCAGTACCTAAAATCAAACATTACAAAAAAAAGTTCAAGACTATCAAAAGTCATTGTCTTCACTATAATTACTGGTATCATTATCAATGTCTTTTCTGAGGTTTATTATTATAGGGTCTATTAAGTTTTCCATTGCTCTATATCCACTTTTTAAAATGATCAATGCATTTTCTCCAACGTTCTCCATTTACATCTGAAACTGCCTTCAAAAACAAATTTCCGCATCCTGAGCCTTGTTTTGTTTTAGAACCGTCGGTGTAGATATGAGTCGTACCTGCCACTTCTGGCTCTTCTATTTGTTCTATTATAACTTTATATTGCTTATGGAAGATATATCTCGGTGAGATGGAGTCCATGTTCGCTTGAAGCAGTGGGAGCGTATCGTGCGCCTCCTGCCAACAATGACGTCTCGCCTCACCAGATCCTACATCAGGTTCTATTCCAACCGTGCGGAGGCGTGTCGTTGTCGTCAGAGCAACCTCCTTGATGTAAATATCAAGGGGAGTGAGACTAAGAATGACTTCCATCGCTCTGGTTGGTGTTGTTTCCATGGCTCCTGTTATGTTGAGACATATTGTTCTTTGAATTTGTTCTAGTTTACGGATAGCTGTTAATTTTTGGGTTTTCGGTACCCAGACAACTGCACCGTATGTTAGCTAGGTCTTATGATAGCCGTGTAAGTCCATGCGACGACTCTGGGGGAGAAACCCCAGGTGCGTCCCACGGTACGGCGGCATTGTTCATAAGTAATGTATGCTCTTTTAACTATGTTTTCTAAATGCGAGTTCCATGTTAACTTGCTGTCAAAGGCGAGACCTAGGTACTTACCTCTGTCGCAAAGTTTAGTTTTGTGTTTAGGAGTTCTGGAGGTTTTAATTCCATTTTCATCCTTTTCATTGTGAAAAGGACCATTTCTGTCTTCTTAGGATTGCACCAGTGTTCTATAATTTTTAGAGCTACTTGCATTCTTTCGCAGAGTATGTTCTCAATATTCCCTGTTTGCAGAATGACCAGGTCATCTGCATATGCGATTGTGTAGTGAAATCTACAAGAATGAACGTGCATGATGTTTCGTCTGTTCACATATTTATAACAATTAAAAATTAAACCGTATTGAAAAATAATCCTTATTCAAACGTGAATCAAATGCGGTTTGCTGTCTGCCATGCTACGTCATGCGCAGAAAGTGTAAAATTCGGTCGAGTTAGTACTATGGCAGAGGCAGAAGTTAAAAAGGCTTTTGGTAGGTAGAGAGGGGATAAACGTCAAACCACGTCGGACGGCTTCGAGAATTTCACAGTAATGTTGACCTGCCAGTGTCGTTTCATAAAATAAGTAATTTTTACCGGCGGAACCAGACAATCGCATGTATTTATGGACTATAAATAATTATTAAACATGTATTATAATATCTATAGAATAATTTTGTACGCCAATGGATCGCGTCCACTTCAATTAGATCCGCCGCAAACCTGTCAATTTATGTGTATAAAATGGGAGAACTGGTAAAAGCTTTTACAACTTCTGCCCCTGCTATAGTAACATATAGTGGTCGGATACTATTGATAGTTTGCCTTATCGATAGTTTCCGATAGTCTCAAGAGTTACTATCAATATTACTATTGAAACTATACCAATGTTGGACGAAATTAATGGATTCCAGAATTCCCTGTATTTGCATACTGGCATCATACGGGGATGTTTTTTAATTTATTCATATAGTAATAGATGGCTGCATAAACAGGAAGCAGAGATACAAGAAAACAGGAGGAGGCAGAAGATAGGCAGGAGGCTCATTTGCAGTGGCGTGCGTATATGATAAAAAAGTTAGTTAAGCAACTTTTAAAACAGATTATGATCTAGTGCTGAATTGCAGAGTGCGTTCTTATAAATTTGGTTTATTTTTAATTTTAGTTTTTTTATTCAAATTTTGTGAAAATGAACTCGAAAAATACTAAAAACATGCGAGGTCAAACTATCGATAGTTTGTTCCAACATAAACCAAATCAGTTTGTGTACTGTCGGGATTCTGCGCAGTCTAGAATTTGTGTTCCAACAAAACGTAGACTCGAAACTGTACAAAAAGATAGTGTTCCAACACAACCAAAATTAATCACAAACCGATTTGTGTACTGTCAAATCAGTTCCTGGGTCTGAATAGGAACGAATTGTCAAGACATGCGCTAAGCCGCAATAAACTGAACATTCGTGATTGTAATTATATTATTTGTATCTATTGTCTCTGACAGTTCTGATTTGTATTTGTTAATCGAGCTTAGTCTTCATAGTTTTTGTTCATGATCATTTATTTTATTTTGTGGTTTATTATTGTAATAATGCGTCTGTTGAATTTAAAAAATGTGTTCCAACATAATTGAGTTCCGAGTTGAATCCCAATCCCCGACCAGTACCTGACAAGTTGTCAATTACTATACTCTGTTTTTAAACTAGGAGGAGCGAATTGAAAAGACGCATTTACACAGGGAAAAGTAACTAGATTTGTTACTAAGAGCGAGTTTCGAAATATAGTCGTGTTCAAAATTTATGAAATAATTATCTTTGTCGGCCTTAGTCGGTGAACGGCCAATGAGCGGTTAAGAAACGAATAAATAGAAGTAATTTTTTAATTGGTCCCAGACAACGGTCGCAAATTTTACATTATTGTAATGTGAAATGTGTGTCTAAAACGAAATGTCACTGTCAAATTAAAGTCAATATGGTTGTTGATTGATGTCAGAAATACTTTTTTCTTTCTTTTGAAATCGACTCTTTGAGAATAACTATGATCTTTTTAAAATGGAAATTAAATATTTAAGAAAATTGTTAATGGAATATCCAGATGTAGCCAGGTTAGTATAAAATATAAAGATCTGTTTACATTTTTAAGGATATATTTGTTATAGGTATAAAAAGTAAAAGTTAATCAGTGAATGACAAGTGGATCACACTGTAACTGGTATCTCTTCCATGAGTAATGTGGATATTATGGCTTATTTAGTGTTAACCCATGGTTAATGCGCTAGAGGGCAAATAAAGGCATTCAAAAGTTTACAGGCCCATGAGTCAGAATTTGTTTTGAAAACTGGAACTAACATTTTCATAACACTACATGTCAACATATATTTTTTAAAGTGAACTATTCACACATACCTATTTATTAATTTTAAGTATTTTTAAAATATTTTTTTGTGAAAGTAATGTTAACTCATTGTGCCAAATTAAGATTATCCCTAAAGTAGTAGATGGTGTTTTAAATGTTATCAACAATTTTGTAAATAGTTTTATTCTATTATAATAAATAAAATTTGCTTGAATAGTTACATTTTAATCATTTTGGTTAGAAATTCATCAATTTTTAGTTTTATAAAATCAGTAATAAAATTATTTTTTTCTAAAATACTTCGGAATTCATCTCTTCATGGTAATCTCCCATCTTTTTACCTTCAAAAACCAATAATGCATTTTCTACAAAACCTTCAGAATCAGCATGTAAAATAATAAGGTGTCTTCCCTTTCTTGTAAGGCTTTTCAGGAATTGCTACCTTTAATAGTACTCAGTGTAGAAGGATCCATAATTGTAGATTTTCAATACAATTGCTTACTGAAGGACTTTTATTTATGAAATAAAGTAAAAAACTAAAGTAAGTAATGGATGAGATATCAAATTATAAAATGTCAGAACTGTCAACAATATCAATTATTAGCTGATGTTCATGCTAAAAAGTAATGTGTGAAACTGACTGTAATCTGACCAATCAGAAGGCTACAGAATTGCCAACTTAAATTCAAATCGCTCCTCTTAGTTTAAAAACAGAGTATAGTCATCGACAGATTGTCAACAATAAGTTTTGGACTGATTTATGAATTGTTCCAAGATCGTTGTTGGAACAAACCTGATGATTACTTAAAACAATCATTAGTTTTCGATAGCAACAAACACATATTGCTATTGATAGTATCTGACCACTAGTAATATACCGGTATAAGTGTATCGTGTTTTTACCTAAAAGTATCGAATTTGTGGTTCATCAATCCTCTTATTTTCGCATTTGACAAATATAAGGTTAAAAAGGAACTATGCTAGTTGTCAATGGGCCTTTATCTTTTGTCGAGACACCAAAGTATGGAAATTTCGTTTCTTTTTTTAAATTAACACCCAGAAAAGTAAATCCTTAGTGGGACTATTCATCAAACACATTGATTATAATATTAAGTTATTCAATCAGAACGTTTGTTCATCATGATACCGTAGTAATATGCACAAGGTTAGAAGGGACTTTAACTCATTTATATGCAAAACAAAGTAAAAAAAGCATACATTGCTTATAAACAATGCCGTCGAACCGTAGGGCGCACCTGGGGCCTCTCCCCCAGAATCGTTGTATGGACTTACACGGCCATCATAAGACCTATGCTAACATACGGTTCAGTTGTCTGAGTATCGAAAACCCAAAAATAGATAGCTATCCTAAACTAAAACAAATTCAAAGAACAGCATGACTCAACATAACAGGAGCCATGAAAACCACACCGACCAGAGCCATGGAAGTCATTTTTAGTCTCACTCTCCTTGATATTTACAACAAGGAGGTTGCTTTGATGACACTGACACGCCTCCGCACGGTTGGAATAGAACCTGATGATCGTGAGGCAAGACGTCGCTTTTGGCAGGAAGCGCTCGATACGCTACCACTGCTTCTAGCAAATATGGACTCCATCTCACCGAGATATATCTTCCATAAGACATATAAAGTTATAACAGAACAAATAGAAGAGCCGGAAGTGGCAGGTACGATTCATATCTACACCGACGGTTCTAAAACAAAACAAGGCTCCTTAAACCGAAACGTAAAATGGGCTGTGAGCAGTAGTGTCATTGTAGTTTAAACCGAGCTCACGGGGATTCTCATAGCAGCAAAAGAAATCACTAGAAATAATATCACTGGAAGAAACATGCTCATCTATACATATAGCAGTTAAGCACTACTCACCCTGGACAGACCACGAATTTACTCAAGGTTAGTACTAGAATGTCACGAAGCTTTGGCCGAAGTATCCATCAACAGTGTGGTCAACTTAAGATGGATCAATGGTCATACCACATCGAAAGGTAACCGTCTTGCTGATTTACTAGCCAAGAAGGCAGCCAACCAAATGCTTTTTGGATCTGGCCCTTCTATTGGACTGACAACATCGGTAGTAACAAATCTAATCAAAGAACATTCCCTTGTGAAATTCAAGGAAAGATGAAACAAGAAGCTGCAGACGTGCCAGGGAGCTTTTAAGTACAGCAAACACATACTTGACTATGACTAGATCAGAATCCGCACTCTACAGAGGTTGCAAAGAGAAAGATGAGACCATCGAGCATATCTTCTACGATGCACTCATTTATTAGAAGAATTTTGCTCGGTAAGAATTGGCTAACACTGGCCGATATAAGAGAAGCACCTTTTGGCGACGTTGTTAACTATATTACATCAATAGGCTGGCTCACGAGCCTATCTACTCCACACGTTACAGATAAAGAGATTTATATGCAATAGGAAACATATTACTACCAAGATTAATTCTTGAGGTCCTTTAGTATTAATATTGGCAAAATAAAAGACCCAAAAACAAAAAATATTGAACGAACCAATAGTTATAAAGGAACAAGTCGCTATAGCTTGAGTAGAGCCACAAGATATAAACAAATTTAGCTCATTAGAAGTATCACTAATGTGATTGTTAATACAAGGGAAGAAGATATAATTTAAGTATTTCTTACTCCTACTCTTTTTACTTTCCTATCTGTATACAGATATAAGGAAAGTATAGGAATCATGATTTTTTTCGACCTCGAGTTTTCGACGGATTTTTACGTTTTGAGGTCCCCTGAATCCGTTTTGACTATTTTCGCGATGATGTCTGTGTGTGTGTCTGTGTGTGTGTCTGTGTGTGTGTGTGTGTGTGTGTGTGTGTCTGTATAACGCATAACTCATGAACCCATACACAGAAAAACACTAAATTTTAAACTTAAGCTTTGTTTCAGCGTCCAATAAGCTGATTAGATTTTGGGCAGAGTCGGAACATCTGGGGGGGTACTTTATAGGTGGTCATTTTTATATTTTATGGAATATATCTGTTATTTACGTTTGGACAAGAAAATTCTTCAAATAAAAGTTACTTCTAATATAATTATCTATAATTTTTGTTTTATGCAAAATTTTCCTAAAATGGTCCGTATTCGAGAAATTTGACAAAATGTAAAAAAAATAATTTTTTATAAAAATTGTTCAAATAAAAGTTGTTTGTAATATAATTCTCTATAATTTTTGTCTATACATAATTTCTCTTAAATGGACCGTATTCGAGATATTTGAGAAAATGTGTAAATTTCGAAATTTGAAGAAAACTCAAAAACGGATAAAGGAAAAAACATTAAATTTTAAACTTAAGGTTTATTTCGGCCTGACGTGAAATGATTAGATTTTGGAAAAAGTCGGAACATCTGGGGGGGTACTTTATGGGAGGCCGTTTTTATATTTTATGGAATATATCTGTTATTTATGTTTGGAGAAGAAAATTGTTCAAATAAAAGTTACTTCTAATATTTTTATCTATAATTTTTGTTTTATGTCAAAATTTCCTGAAATGGTCCGTATTCGAGAAATTTGACAAAATGTGCAAAATTCTGATTTTTATGAAAATTGTTGAACTAAAAGTTGTTTGCGAAATCGATTTCTATAATTTTTGTTTATACATGATTTTTCTAAAATGGACCGTAATGGAAAAGTGCTAAATTTAAATTTTTCTGTATTTTCGTTTTCAATGAATATCTATAAAAAAATGTTTCGAGGTAGATGTATGTGTAAAATGTATATATTTAGTTTATCCTCTAAACATTTATAGAGATGCTGCAATAGGTTGTACAAAATAACCGGAAAATGCCTATAATAACTAGATAGGAAAGTCATGTGTTGGACACATCAGATTTTTACTTTCTAGTAATCGGTAGGGAAAATACGTTTTGACCATTTTCTGTTGATCCACGATGACTCAAAAACGGCAACGAGAAATATACCAAATTTTAAACCAATAAGTTTTAATCCATTATGCGACGAGTTGATTTGGGCATAATCGGATCATCTAGGGGTGATAATTTTACAGTTTAATATATACTTTATGGTATATTTATGATTGGAGAAGAACATTTTTCGAATATGAATTGTCATATACATTTCTTTAAAATGGACCGCAATGGAGAAATTGAAAAAAGTGCAAATTTATAATTTTTTCCATATCGATTTCAATGAAGATGTGAATAAATGTTTCGAATAAAATGTGTCTGGAAAAAATTTATCTATAATTCATGTTCTAAACACTTTTTTATTAGATGGCCTCGAACTCAATATGTTTGATAACTTTACTGGAAAGTCATTATATTTTATTTTAAAAATATTGAACGATTCGTTTTGTGTTCATATTTTTATTAATCTTATAGAAATTTGTATTTATAGATAAATCTGTTAATTTTTGGTTTCTCAACCATAACTTAAGCGAACGGTGGCTCTTAAAAACAATTCCACTGATAGATAAATCAGCTTCGACTTCTTAAGTTACATTTATAACACATTTCTAATCATAAAAAACATGCTACAGAAAAAAATACCATTCGACTCACCTCATTTAGTACCCTCCGGAGCTTCAACAACATAGTCTTGATGCCGACGATATCTTGTTTGATGGCCGTATGACTGGCGCGGTCTAGACGGATACTGTCGTCCGAATCGTAACCGCAGGCGGAAGAAAGATTAACGACACGACCATGTCTAACCGGACTGCTGGTCGCCGATGGTCGTGCGACGCGCACCAGAGATTTGGGCGAGTCAACGGTGGAGTTCGGTGTGCTCACTCTGGACGAAAGAAGACGAGTCCTTGATGCGGTACTGGAAAGAAAATTATCATACGTTAAAAATTTCGTAAAATTTTAGTGGTTTCGGTATAGCAATGTGACAAAAAAATCATAAATGTGTTTCTCTTGATAAAGCCCAGCAATATAATTTCTTCAAAATGATGAATCAACGACTAATTTGTCGAAAATAACATCAAGATCGTTTACACTTGGTACAACATTTAGTCCAAATCCCGTATCAGCTGTTTTATGAAACCTTATACATTTCTTAATATTCAGATTAAGTTTGAGCAGTCATTGACGATTGAAAAATAAATTAGGTCATCTGTATAAAAAAAACAGTTATTAAAACAAGCATAAACAATACAGGTCCTATATGCGAGACTTGTGCCACACCTGAATGTATAGTACAAGCAAGAGATATAGTGTGACTTTAAAGCTTTAAAGCCAGCCAGCAACATACAAAAAGACTAAGGCGACTGATACATCACCTTTAAATTAGTAGAGAGCATTCAAGAAATTGAGTATACTTATTTTATTTTTACTTCCCTCGATAAAAGGGAAGTGTTGTAATCGTGATAATTTAGATTTTTACGTTTTCGGGTCCCTAGATTACGAAAAACATGTTTGCACGATAGCTCAAAAACGCCTTAAGAGAAAAACTTCAAATTTTGTATGCAGGTAATGCTTCCTCTTGGCTTAAAACCGGTTGTACTTCCGGTCAGATATATACAGGGTGAGCAGTTAAAAAAAACATTTATTTTTAAAAGTCAGCAGATTTCGACTTAAATTGGTCTCTGATAAAATTGGTAGGTATCTGATCAAAGATAACAGATCATAAATTACTTTTTAAAAATTCAAAATATCTTCCTTGTTTTTACAATTTATACAGGGTGTTTTTAAGTGGTATGCTAATATTGTAGGGTGTGATTCCTCAGGTCATTTTATAAAGAAAAGTTCATTTGAACATATATTTGCAACGGCTTTTAATAGTAGTAGAAATTCGAATTTCAAACTTTGATTTTTTGAAATCGAATGAACAATGATCTCAAACTATTGATGAAAAGTTTTAGTGCATTTAGTCTCTCACCTATTAATCAATAAAAAAAAATAAAAAACGAAATATATAATGCTTGATGAAACTGGATTCAATAAAAAGAACCCAATAAAAAAAACTCGATAAAGAGAACTTAATAAAAAGAACTCAATAAAAAGAACTTAATAAAAAGAACTCTATTAAAAAAAACTCTATAAAAAGAACTCAATAAAAAGAACAAAACTGCAGACAACAATTAGGAATATCAATAAAGTTAAGGCGGTTAATAGCAATGACGATAACAGAAACAAAATTTAACAATAAAACACAAAAAGGAGGAACGGAAGAATGCACAATTAATAAAGGAGATGCCATGACATAGTGATAATTGTAAAAACAAGTAAAATCATGGAAAGTATCTTGAACGAAATTGTAAAAGAAGAACTAAATCAAGACAAAACAAAATTCATGAGATTAGATAATAAAGCAGCATCCAAAAGTATTAAAATAGGAAAACATGAATTCAAAGAAGTGCAAATCCTGCAGTAAAATACGAAAGTGAAACATGGAACCTAATAAAAAAAAACAAGAGGTAGGTTGGGAACACAAAATGTTTAAAGCAATAATTGCATAAAAAATTATTTTCGGTTGAGTAAGAACATCTGATAGCTGGAACGGGAAAACCAACGAAGAACTAAAAATGGACATGGAGAAGCAAAGATAACGTCAAGAAAAATACAGATTAAGGTGGTTGGGCCACCTAGATAGATTGAATAAAGGAAGCATAACAAAAATGGTACTCTACAGGACGCTAATTGACAAAATAAGAAGATGACGGCCTAGAAAAAGTGCGAAGAAATAAAAACATCCGAAGTTTTTGCGAGGACACCAGGTATATTTATTTATTATCCGAGAATTTATTTTTCAGTTTGAAAGCAGTTTGAATGCATTTAAAAAATCGGATATAAAGGAAATAAATATCGTTATATATATTTTAAAACTCCTTCACTATGCTACACAACTGATTTTACAAAACCATTTCGTAATATTAATATAATTAACGTACGTAGAGATACCAGGACTAGGTGAAGTCTTGGCACTGGTAGAAGCGCCGATGCAGACACTGACACCGCTTGAAATGCAATTTTCCAGTTTTCTTCCGGTTGAGGGAGATCGCTTATAGCGCAGTTCTGTGGTCTTGTTGATCCTTATGAAGTTACTACATTTACCATTAGTTTTCATGGCACTACTACTTTTATTTATTACTTCAATATTACAAACTAACTTGGACTTTTTTGTACGGTGTATAAAAATAGCAGACGTTTTATGTTTTTGTTTGGAGACTTAATGACTAAACGGTACCTTTATAATTCCATTTTGTTCCTATGGGGTGAATCAGAACCACGTAGAATTGTTAACAAGTGAATCCTGTTTGAGATAATGCATAGTTATAATTAGTAATAAAGGAAATATTTAATTAAATAATAATGTCATAAATGAGCAATGTTTTTATTATTCGATGACCATTTTAATTATTTTGAAACGAAAACTGATCATTTTAAAGTGTAGTATTTAAAACGCATTAGCTATTTTTGTAAATTCGTAGCTGCCAAGTATTTTCAAAGTTTGTAGACATTGAATTTGGCAGTGGTGGCTTGTCTGTAAGGGCTGTATGATTACAGTCTCCTAGTACAAGAGGATACTAATCAACCAATTTATATAAATATAAAATGAAAATGTATTGTTAACTATGAATACTATAAAAATAACGGCTCCTTTTGTTTTGGTCTTTCCAATCATAACCTGGCAAACCGTCCCTGACGTTCCCCTTTTTTCCGTTACTCGTGATCTATTACTAACGTTCTGGCTAGTTGCATAGCTGCAGAGGGGGGGAAGGGTCGTCTAATTCTAGACACCACTTAGGTAATACAACATACGTTGTTGTATGTTTGGATGCATATTTAATTTATCAATCAGCGAACGTATTAAAACTGACTTATCATATTTGTAAATTCGAAAACATTCTTTAATGCTTTTATTAGCAGTTTCTGTTTTAAATGAGAAAAAATGTAATATATGGAACTTAATTTATCTTTCTTTATATTATATAAGGTCTGTTATTTTATAAATTAGTCCGGTCCTGCTCGTCCTTTAGTATCTTTCAAAAGACAGTCAGGAAGCCCTTAAAAAGAACCGAATAGGATAGAAGTACAATCCAAATAATAGTCGACTGCCAACAGTCCCTCCAGGCTATGACAGAACATAACAAGGTCACTCTTGAATGGGTGCCGAGACTTGAGAATGTGTTGGGAAACGGGAAAACAGACATCCTAACCAGTTAGGAAGGTAGTTGTGGAAGCTCTAATTTGACCAGAACCCACATGTGCTATTTCATACCAACATGTTAATGGGGTGCTAATGAAATAAATAAATAAATAAATAAATAAATAAATAAATAAATAAATAAATAAATAAATAAATAAATAAATAAATAAATAAATAAATAAATAAATAAATAAATAAATAAATAAATAAATAAATAAATAAATAAATAAATAAATAAATAAATAAATAAATAAATAAATAAATAAATAAATAAATAAATAAATAAATAAATAAATAAATAAATAAATAAATAAATAAATAAATAAATAAATAAATAAATAAATAAATAAATAAATAAATAAATAAATAAATAAATAAATACAAAATATCATAAGCTTTGGCTGGAACTTCCTTACCTCAGGCAGTGTAGAATATTCATGGTGGGCCAAACCAAGGGCAGACAAATTAATTGCTAAATCTTAGCAGGAACGAACTGTGGTGATCTAAATATAGTATATTTACAATACCCTGTATTATTATTCATAATTGTCAATGTAACATTTATCGTTTATCGGTTTGTTCTTAGGTGGCGTTTAGAATTAGCATGTTATAAATATGACATTATCTACCGACCTGGCAGATTCAATAACACTGCTGATGCGCTGTCAAGAGCTGACAACTTATCTATCATAACCGCTATTTTATATAATATTTATTTTAAATGTAATACCCTGTATATTTTTCAATTTTTGGATTCTTCAGAAAATTCTAGATATATTTTATGTATTATGTCCTATATCTAACTGTTTCGGGGAAATTTAATGGTTTCCGATTTATTGCAAAAAATAACAAAATTATTTGATTACAACACACTCAACAACTAATTAGTAATGCTGTTTTATTTCTTGATAATGTAACTAAAAAAAACATCTCAATACAAGAGATATTTAACTTGCTCACCGCGAACCTCTTGGCAACATCCTAATCTGAAATAAAAATGTCTTCTAATGGTACTCATTTTCTCAGGAGTGACCGATCTAATTGCAAGCGTTATTCGTCTTCTTCAGTTAGTTAGGTTTTAATGTTTCCAAAATAGTTAGGTATAGGACATAGTACATAAAATATGTCTAGAATTTTCTGAAGAATCCAAAAATTGAAAAATATACAGGGCGTAGCATTTAAAATAAGAAAGTTGGTATTGGCCACTGTTACATGACACCCTGTATAAAAAGTTTTTGTTAACAAAAATGGGCAACTAAAAAAAAAATCGACGTGTCCGAGCGTTTTTCAACACACGCCTCCATTTATTTATTACCGAATTTATTCCATTTGACTGTTCCACACCGTATATAACAAACTGCTTCGTAAGAGGTATATATTGAATCCAGTCTGGACGAATAGTATCCAGATTTGGGTAATGTCAGTAAATGTAACATTCAAGTTATTCAACGTTTCCAAAATAAAGTATTAAGGAACATCATTGATACACCCTGGTAGGGTCCGATTATAATTAGAAGAACAAAGCTACGTCATTATTTGGCAAAGTAATTAATTGGTTATCGCCGCCTACTGGGATTTAGTGGTGTGTTAATATTAAAGAAATATAGGATATATTGTTTTATACCTAAAAACTTACCTATTTTTTATTTATTGATAGTTATAGATAATATGTA